CCGCCATTAGGAAGACAGGCAACCCAATTGTTGATATTCGACTTGACCAGGAACTCACTGCCAATATCTTTCCAGATGGTAAAGTCAATTGCGTTCATGTCCGTTTCATTCTTAGGTGGGGTGTCAGATTGCTGGATAGGATCAATGCACATGTTTGTTGGTACCGGTTTGATATAGTTTGCCTTATTTTTAAAGTTTTGATAGTTATTGAATGTCATGGACCACACCAGTGTCCAGCCTCCTCCGTCAGTTTCCATATCACAGTAACTCAGGAATGGCTGTATCGGGCCGGACAAGTCTACATCCAGCCAATAGTTACCGGATGGTAATAAAGGGTAGGAGTCATTCAGGATTTTGCAGGTTTTTGCTGGCAGCTCGGCCAACCCACCAAGTCCACTCCATTTTCCTAGCCTGGCAACATCTTGAAATGAGAAAAAAAGATCTGATGAAACTGTCTTTTCAGATCAAACACAAATTAACAAATGAGAAACAGGATGTTAATTGTTATGGTACTTATTATCATTATTATTATCAGGCTCGTACTTTCTTCTTGTGATTTCCTCCGCTTCTTTCGCTAAATGATCTTCCAACCACTTATCCATTGGGAATGTAAAAAAATTRCGATAGTTTCATGTGGTATGTCTTCTTATTTACCACAGTTTGGGCCATCGACTTCGTGTCGTTGATCTACAGCAATCCAGAGGATTCGATGACCCAACTGTGGCGAGGACATACTACATGAAACTATCGTATACATTTATAAATAAAGTTTGTGCTTCTTCTGAGTAAAAAAGGTTTTTATCTTTATCCGAGCTTTATCAAAANACAAATCCTTTCAGAGCTTTGTTTTCGGTGGATTCAAACGATTCGAACAGAAACTGGTCTTGTGAATACGCTGAATTCCACAAGAACAAAATCACAAATATGATTTGATGCATGTGTCGAAGGTTTGGATATGTTATCACCTGCAAATGGAATGTAGGATTGAGATTTATAACACTTCTTCAATTWTTTTTTCCGTTCTTCGAAAATTGACCCTAAAAGGTCAGCTCAGGACCGTAAAAGGTACGCGAGAGTTTCATTTTCGACGCTAAAAAGTTCGGCGAGCATATCTAACAACTATTATAAGGTAGTCTCCCCCCCGGAACAACATTTAGCACCAAAAATAGTTTGAACTGGAAAACTGTTTTTATTGTCACTATTGATTTATCACTTTTAATCTAACCATATGCATTGCTTGTTTTTGTAAGTTTTCATTCAAAAAGGTTTAACTTCGGCCTGTTATAACAATTATTTTGGCGAGTGTGATTAATTAGTTAAATTTCCATTTTTTCTAAACCACAGTTAGAACTAAAAAAAAACCCTCTTGTTTTGCTGTCACTATTGATTCATCGCTTTTTGATTTAAMCCATTTTTATTATTAAAACTTTCTCAGAGTCTATGGTAAGGTAGCTTCCTATAGGTTTTTTTCGACCATTACCTCTCTTTTTAAA